ATATTTAGAAAAATAGCTCAAGAAGAGGAATTCAGCTGAAGAACCACAAAATTCCCATAAGACATCTTTTTGCATTGGAAGGAGTCATTAAACAAAATGGCAATCCACCTCCTCTCTTATGCATATTTGTGACGGCTCACTTCCCGCTGTGAAACTGATGTAACAGTCAGCAAGGTCCGCCAGACGATTTGGTCGCCAGCACTGTAATCAGAGGACGGCAGCAGGGGGAGGAAGGGAGCCCAGTGCTGAGCTCTGGCCATGTGACAGAGCGTCGGAGGGGTGGGCTGATGTTCTCGCTTTACTACATGTAAACAAGGTTGAGTAGGTTGCCAGGCAACACATACACTCACTGATACCATCCGAGGCTCGATAGTAGAGACTAGAGTCAGGAAAATGTCAGCGGTGTTATTTGGTGTTTGGGAGGAAATATGTCATCCAGTGGCAGCAAGAGGAGATGTCAAACTTTCAGATTGTTGCCAAGGTAAATTCATAATTTTGTCATCAATGTCTTGACCTTTTTGAATAAATAAATGCCACCTGTCAAGACAAGACCTCACACCTCAGGCTTTACTCCCAGAGACGTGAACAGAAATATTTAAAGTCATTGTGCTGTTCGTGTCACATACACTCTCAGAACACTGCTCAAGAGGTCACCCTTTACTTCAAAGCAGTATTCAATGCACCAACTACTGTCAGGACAAACTCTTCTGACAGATACGACGGATTTAAAAGTAAAAGACAATCTTTGACCATTCAGTTGGAAAAGTAAAATTTAAGTCAGTCAGGCCCTGTAGATAGATAAACAAACTTCAATGAAAAAAGTTGTACGCAAACACATACTTTAATATATAATGAGCTGTTGCTGTTGATGGAGAGTAGGACACTTCCAAACTGTACTAACTAAACACAATGACACTATTTCTTGTTCTACATGTGTTAAATACAGAAGATGTGACATCTGTGGGTTTTCTTACCTTTTAACAGAATTAGATTGAGTAACAGAAAGTTACTTTTCTGATGAAGTAACTTTTCCAACACTCTTGTATTCGGCTAAATTCATGTCTTGACAAAAAAAATTTGTCATGGCCAAAATTATGGGTATCACTGCATGTCTGTCACATAATGCACTACTTCTCACACAAACTTGTTGCAATTACAAATGCTTGTAGCTCACATGTAGCAACAGGTGCTGACAATAAAGAAGTCACACTTGCAACCAGTTAAAATGGAGAAAGGTTGACTCAACCTTTGTGTTGGGTGTCTGTGTTTACCACACTGAGCATGGACAAGAGTTGTCTGAGGATTTTAGAACCAAAGCATGGATAATCTCAAGGCTACAAGTCCAAGTACAGAGATCTTAATGTTCCTGTGTCCACTGCGCACAACATTGTGAAGAAGCCCACAGTGCTGTAGCTGATCTCTTGGGTGGTGAACAAACAGCACCCAAAATGGTTTAAAGGAGCCCCATTATGCTTTTCCTTATTTTGACATATCTGCAATGTTGGATGTTCATGTTAAACATGGCCAAAGCTTCAAATAATGAGGTTAAAGTATTTAAAAGAAATCCTGTGAGACAAAACCTCAGATTTCCTCCTGTTCTGAACGCTCTGTTTTCAACTGCTTTTTCTACGACACACGGAGCCAGACGGAGCCGGTGGTCCATATATGGTCATTTCCTCCCACAGCAACTCTGTCTGTACAGCTCACAACAGCCTGGTAACATAGTTAACATGGTCTTGGCCAATCAGAAGACAGCTGGCTTTGAGAGGGGGGAGCCTTAAAGAGACAGGAGCATCTAGAGCTTGTTTCAGACAGAGGCTGAAATGAAGGCCTGTATGAAGAGTCAGTATAAGATCGAAAATTATTTTTTTTAATCATGCAAAGCTGCCATACAGGAGTCACAGAACTACAATATAGGACTGGAAAAGCAGTATAATAGGTCTCCTTTAAGACAAAGTGCTGGAGAGTTCTAAAGTGGCCAGCAATGAGTCCAGATCTAAATCCCAGAGAGCACCTGTGGAGAAATCGCAAAACAGCAGTTGGGAGAAGGAACCCATCAAATCTCATGAGCAGTTGGCAAAAGAGGGGTCCAAAATTCCAGTACTGAGTTGTAAGAAACTCATTGAAGATTACAGGAGGCGACTGATTTCAGTCACTGATTTTCCAAAGGTTATGATACCAGATATTAAGTTGAGGGTGCTAATAATTTTGTCCAGTCCATTTTTTCTAGTAGGACTGTGTGTAATGTCTCAGATTTGGCTTTTTTCCTCTGCTTGTTTTTCCAATGCAAACAAAAGAAATAAAAATACCAACAATACCAAAGCATTTGTAATTTCAACACTAGAAGTAACGCATTATGTGACAGACATGCAAAAGACATGCCCATACTTTTGGCCAATACTGTTGGTCTATAGAAATGCAAGGAGTTCTTTGTTTCTTTCTCCCAAATGAAGTGCATTTTTGGCGGCCTAATGGTGCTCAAAAACTCACGAAACATGACACGCATGTCAGAAGTCACAAAAATTTATGCCCCAGATGGGTCTCGTCATGGAAAAATGGCTCCACAGCGCCTCCTTAAAAATTTTTTTTTTGAAAAACACCCTCTGCGCCACTTTTGACCAACCTGCACAAAAGTTTTATGGGACATGTATCATGTCAAGCCTCAGGGGCCCATACCCTAAACTCACCATTTACCATTAACTCCTCCTACAGAATTAATCAAACTTCAAATATTCGGTGTGCTATCTCAAGGTAGTGTGCTATCTGAGTTTTTGATGAAAGCCATGTTTGTGGCGTGGCGGGCCACATGCTTAAATTTGCACAAAAATTTATGTTCTATAACACTACTACCGCCCTGAGCCAATATTCCCTCAGTCATAGCGCCACCTACTGGCAGTGTCATGTTTTACGCTGTGATGGATTACTCCATTACATTTATTCGTTTAGCTGACGCTTTTATCCAAAGTGACTTACAGTTGCTATATATGTTAGAGGTCACACACCTCTGGAGCAACTAGGGGTTAAGTGTCTTGCTCAGGTACACATTGGTGGATGGGTCACAGTGGGGAACTGAACCCGGGTCTCTCACACCAAAAGCAGGTGTCTTATCCACTTTGTGGTCTCGTCTTTTAACATTATTAAAAAGGAGTGTGCATAATTTTAGAACCAAGTCTGATCTTATATCGTTGAAATGTTTGAAAATCTGACTTACTTGGTGATGCCATTTTCATAAAAAGATACAGTAGATACAATAATTAACAAGATGCTAGACTAGTGGAGGGATAATCGAGTCATGGTTTTGTAAGAATGTCAGTCTTTGGTACAAAAATATCTCAAATCTGTGCAAAAAACCCCACAACACAACAAACAACGAGAACACATGAAGACGTCACTCAGCGGTTACTGAAAAGCGGTGAAGGGGCTGTCTCTCTTTCTCTCTCCACAGATATTTTATAACTCAGGGGCACATTTGCTTGTGTGGAAACAGTCAGTTACTCTCTCTCTTTATATAACCTCGCAGGCTGAATCATCATCAAGGTGTTTGTCTCTGTGGTGAAATGCACATCTTAAAACTGAGATGCTCCTCTTCAGTTGCGCAACCCATTTCACAGTTTTTTTTTCAAGGCCAAGAAATATTTCTCTGAAGGTGTGAACATGTAACGTTTGATCATCAGTGAATCATCAGCCTGAGGGGACTGGTATAATCATCATATACAAAACAAGACAATGACCAACCCATGAGTGACCGCTTCTTGCAGCACCTGTGATATATTTTATACGTAGTTCAAGTCCAGTGACAAACCTTAAATGGTATAAAAGTAAGCAGCAAATTGGCAATGTCCAAGACATTTTCAAATATAAAATTAACAATTAAATTAAGGAGTTTTGTTCATTTTTTTTCATTGCAGAATGATCAACTGCCTGCCTGCCTTCATTAATTTTCAGTTGCAATATTGGTCAAACAAAGCTTCTCTGGTTTTAAATTAAGTTTTATGTCAGCCCTCCAATTCATATAAAGTTTCACATATCAGACCTACTACTCTGGTAATTGGCTTAACGTTCACACAGTTTCTCTTGGCTATCCCTCAATATTAACTCCAACAAAACTCCAGTTCGACGGGCTAACCTGCAAAATACACTGACTGCCAAATCAAAGAAATCTAAACATGTCAGCAAAATCAGGCAAAAAGCTCCCTGTGGGATATGCAGCCTGAAGATGACGGAACAAAACGAGGTCACAGAGAGCTGTGAAGAAGGTAGTGGGAGCACAAAAATGACAAATTAACAACAAGTCAGTAACGTTGGCAGGTTACATGCTCAGCTGTTGAAACGCTTCTGAGACGATTCCAGTGGAAGTTGACGGCAGAGGATTGAGCAAAGACTGACAGAGTCAGAGGACTTTCGGAGTTACATGTTTAGCCTTCCCACGGGCAGCTCAAAACCAGTATGTCTCATATGGTCCGAGGCTGGGGCGATTATTACAAGCAGCTAGCGTTGTAGTCAAGACCACCCAAACCAAGACCAAGACAAGACCAAGACCGAGAATTTTAGGGGCTGAGACCAAGTCGAGACCAAGACCAGTTCCGCACACAATAAAATGTGGAACGAGATCATAGGTACCTCTCAAACTGATCTGATTAAAACACCCACATACAAACACTAACAGCTGAAATCAACATAAGCGTCTTTATTCAACGCTCCTTTTTCCATGCTTACCATTGCTGGGAGGGGGTCGTTAACGGGAGCAACACATTTTTAATTAGTGTTATTGTTTGCATTTAAAGCAATACGTTTTACATCCACTCAAAGTTAGGATGTTAACAAATAAATCAGATAATGCAAAAGCAATTTATTGATATTCCCAAAGTTATGGTCTCCCCTTAAGATTCCTCAAATCTCCTACTGGTTACAAGAAATACGACTCCAGGCACTGAGCATAAAAACATTAATTCTGGCCTTTTTTTTACTCCATAAATGATTGGAAGAAGCCTAGTAGGTGAAGATGTCTTTATTTCACAAGAGAAAAGGAATTTGTCACAAAGCTTAAAAGAATGATAATAAATTTGTACATGAAAAAACAATCAGACCATCCTCTGATCTCCAAAACTGCCCTAATTTCCAGGCCAAACTACGACACTGAAAACAATGAAGCATGTTACAAAATGCAATCCATGCACACTTGGTTCTCTGACTAGCTTCTTGTACTCTGTTTGTATGTTTTTTGGCTGTCACTGGGAGAACTGGCCTTTTGGGCTCTAATGTCACGAAAACGGTGACGTCGAAGGTCACCACGTGTTCATTTTTGTAAGTGTTAGTACTCACAGTCCTTGAGAGGAGACAAGCTGTGAACAGTCTTCAAAAATCAGAGCCGATAAAAGAGGAGAGGTCGTTGTGGGTAACAGACAGTTCCCGGGAGCCATGGCAACGGCAGACTGGTACAATAGGTGGCTCAGTCAGAGACAGAGGAGAGGAGGGACGAGCAGAACGAGAGGGCGACACGAAAAGGGGAGGAAGAGATGAAAATAAGGGCATGGGAGTCTGTGTGAAAGGTAGAGGAACAGCAGGGCTTGTATTTCATCCTTTTACCTTGTTAATGTGTTCTCTCTTCCTCTGCTGTTCAAAAGAAGCTTAGCTTCGATATGACACCAGGATACCTCTGTGAATCAGCAACACTGGTTTGAAACGGTGTGTAATTTTCTCCTTTATTTACACGCAGAGCTGATCCCAGCAGAGTAAGCGGCACCCTTCGCCCACAGCAGCTGCAAGGGGAATTGAACTCCTGACATCTTTGCAGCACTTTCACACTCTTTTAACTCTTTAGGGAATTAAATCTCTACTTCTAGTGGTGTTTGTGCTGTAAACACTGAGCCGCAAAGGAGGCACACAGACAGGAAATGTGTCTGTCTGTATAGATCTCCTGCTTGAAGGCTCTTCATAGATGGACCAACATATTAGTTGGTTAGACTCCTCCAGTAAACAGCCAGGTCTAGACAGCAGTGCTCCGACCCAGCAGGGGGAAGGCTGTTGGCAGGCCACAGCCGGGCTCCAGTCCCCTCAGTCCACTGACACCCTGAAACCCCTGTAACCCTCCTTGGAACCCCTGTAACCCCCCTTGCAGTTCTGGGATCCCTCCTCGAAGCCCCTGTATGTCTCTTTGGAGTCCTTGTATGCCTCCTTGGAGTCCGTGTATTCCACCTTGGAGCCCAAGTCCATCATGGTGAGTCCTGGGCTCTCTGCGGGGCATGGTAGCCATTGCGGTGGCAGCCTGGATAGAGCGGGCCCCCGGTGGTGTGAGGTTGTTGTGGTTCAGGTCCATGTTGGATAGGAGGTGACCCAGGGAGTCCCAGCGCTGGGACGAAGGTAGGCGTATCAGGGAGGAGTAACCTCGCTCGGGGAATACAGCCATCACGGGAGGCTTGCTGGTCTCTGATGTGAACACCGGAGCAGGATCCTGGTGTTCCCTGGGAGGAGGCAGCGCTGTGGCTCGTGGCGGGGCGGGCTTCAAGAAGGTGCCCCCCCGCGGATCGGCCAAGACCTCACTGTAGGGTGGAGGAGGATCCTCCATCAGAACTGCCTCTTCATAGCAGGGTGGCTTCCCGAATATATCTGTGTCTGGGGGGAAAAAAAAGGAGACCTGGATTAATCACAATGTACACCAAAATTTTTGCTGCATACAACTAACCGCAGAAGTGCACCTAAAAAATCCCAACTTACATGTGACAAGGGAGCAGGGAGAGGGAAAGAGACTCTAATGAGTCTGTGCAGTGGGCTGCATAACGACTTGGTTCGGCAGGGTTAACAACTCTTGTAATGAATGGACACCATCTTGCAGTCTGGTATCCAGTTCTCATAAAACACACACAATGCAGCCTAAAATACTTGTGCAGCACAAACACACTTCATTTTCAGGTCACAACCCAAACGATTGTAATTTGCACAGTCCTAGTGATACATGTGACAATGTGTTCAGCTGTGGGAATAAAAATCCTCACAGCACATTTGGTCTGAAGAGAGAGACTCTCTCTCACACACACATTTTATTTCCCTTCATCACTCTCTCCTATTTCAGGCGCACTTGTGTTCCGTGTTTCTGCATCTCTATTTCGACTTCATTACTCTTCTAGTGAAGGAACTGCACTGCAGCATGTTGGGCAACAAGATACATAAAATACACATTCATCATGCGTTCATTATTTATTTATTCAGATCAGACAGTAAACAGAAGAGGTAGTGGTTCTCACGTCAAGTGACATTTTTTAGTGCTCCTGTGTGCTGCACATGATTAAACTAGGGGAAATAACTAATGCTAACTAATTTCTGCTAACACCCATTATCAAATGCATTTTATAGATGTGAAAGTAAGAGTCATGCAACACTACACGCGTCAGTAATGACACAGCATGATGATTCATGAGAAATCTCCATTTACTTCTATTATGTGTGGACCAGTGACTGAATGAATGGGGGAGTTATTTTAGAGACAGAGTTGGTTGTGGTTTGACATCAGTAAAGTTATTTTCACTGAAATGTACCCTGATTCATTTCATACCGATTTTTCATACAACTACACAATGTGCTAGATATAGCATAATAGTATAAATGGCCCATGAAAGACACCCTGTGGACACACATCCTAAAAGCTATGTTTGCAAATTTAGCTTAAAATAATGACTGAAAGGGAATATATTGTGACTTCACAGTCAAAAGATTAATATTAGAGCTAATATATAGAGCTGAGATGGCTCGGTGTGGTGTTTGTCCCGCCCCTCCTGCACTGTGATTAGACGGCTGGGTAAAATGTGACCGTGACAAGCGCTGCGCGACCATGTTGCCTCAGGAAAAAACTCTTTGGTGGACACAGGCCCTTAGTGTGCAGGTACCAATGTGAGCAGTTACTTTGGAGAGATTAAATCTAAATTATGTGAAGGTCAAGCTGCCCCACAAGACATGCAAAGTATTTGTCACTCATTATAAAAGGATAAGAAATTCCAATGAGACAGACATTATTCATAGACTGTTCAATTTGCTGCATGCACTGTGTACGTGAGTAAAAAAACAAACATAAATTGATTTAGTCTTTTCTTAGGAACCCAACAGACAGAATTTCTCTACAAGAGTACCTTCGATTTATGGTTCTAATAAGAGTGAATGTTGTCATGTTTTGTGCTGCAGTCGAGCCTGCAAACTGATGTTAGCGCTGCTTAGGTGCAGGAGAAGACGTGTGTTCATGTTTGTAAGTTCGATAAGAAGGAGAAGTTAGCAGGAAAGCTAATGTTGTGTTGTTTAGCTGCTGATTGGCTCAGTGTGATCCTATGCCTTAGACAGAACGCATCATGAAACCAAAATTTATAAAATATAAGTTTGGTTGCTGATTTTTTTTTTCTCAGAACACGTGACAAGTGATTTACATAGCTGAAAGATTTACTTAATAAACTAGTGTTGTATTTTCACAAGCAGTGCATTAAATCCACACACTGGCGCACAGCGTTTGGCTCGATATGGCAACGAACATGTGATAACAATATACGAAACTATGCACTTCTATTTGCTCGACTGACTCATTGAAAACGGCATCAATTTAAATGTAATTTGTCCTCCTGTTCACCTTATTTATGAGAATAAATTGCACTGCATGCAAGTATTAATTATCATGATTCCTGATTAAATTGTACAACCTATTTGAGGCGTTCTTTTGCAGAAACAGAATCTCCGTTTGCGTTTACAATCCTAAATCTGGTTCTTTTTGTGTGCGCTGCAAATGATCTTAAATTATGTTGGGTTTTTTTATTCGGATGTTTGTTTATTCAGAAAGCCTGTAATACTCAGGGGTAATATTTCGATTTATTTTACACAATAGTAGGCTTATTCATTTCAAACCGTTTCATCCTTCTGCCATGTGAGTAGCCTTTTCTCATTTCTGCTCTTTATGTGCATAGGCATGTTTCAGAGCTTACTTACAGGACGCACATTCTCCCGTCAAGTTTGTTTTGTATAGATCACAACCTTTGCTTGGGAAGTGGCGTACGCACATTTCCAGCCCTGTTTTGTACGTACGCACGTTTATAAATGAGGCCCCAGATAATGTATGCTGTAGCAGACAAAAATTGCGGCTTATTTTAGTTGGAAATGAGTCGTTTTGGATATCTGTAAAAATGCCTTATTTTATTATTCTTCTGTGGGTTTCCTTCCTCTTTATATCTGTTGACTTCTTCACACAGAAGAACATTTTTCATGTTTGTCTGCTGATGTCTGCCCTTAGTTGTACAATGTGAGCACAGCAAAGTAAAATCCTAGCGATATTTTCTGCCTACTCTAAATACTTTATACACAAGCAGTTGCAGATTATTTGCTTGCGCTCCACTAATTGAACCTGTTGCTAATTACACTGAAGGGCTGGCCAGCAGCACTCGGAGCAGCACTCGGAACAGCACTAAACTCTGTTTATCATTGCAACCAATTAAAAAGATCTGCAGTGCAATGTTAGGACTGATGCAGAAAAGAAAGTTTGGGGTATTCAGCAGAAACACCTGCAGCTGTTTTCAGCTATTTAGGTGCTTTTAAAGGAACACATGAATCATAGTCAACAGACTCCCTGTGTTATGCTGCTACAGCTGACATTCTAACAGAGAAAGCAAAGTGCTAAATCATTATACTTCAGGTTTGTTTGATTATAGCATCGTAGCATTTTATGGACATGTCTGTCACATGATACAAATAGAAATAGAAATGTTCTTCAGGATGACATTAAAGCAAGAAACAACTGCGTGCAAAACACAAGTTTGCTCCTGGAACATTTCTGAAACACCTCTGAGAGCCTGTGGGCATAATATAAGACAGTGGATCTATATTTCAGTGTATTGTCAGTATAAAGATAAAATAAAAATATTTGTGGCCGGATAAAAAGTCTTGGGCAACAAACATCAGTCTTACAGCAGTTTTTTTGGAACAACTGAAAACAGTTTCTATTTCCAGGCTGATGAGTGATCAATATCTGTCGAATGTTGCACAAGCTCTCCTGCTTTCTAAGACATCGCTGGACCTTCAACAACAACTGGTTTTGTCAGCTTCTTACACAGACTGGCTTTTTTGGGGCGGGGGGAGCTGCACCCTTAAGAGCTACGTCTTTACCCCATGCAAGAATCATTCATGTTATTATTTTCCAAAATGACTAGCATCTGAACTCATTGCTTGATGCTGTGGTTTTTAAGAACTGTTTCTCTGCAAAATTATGAAAGTGGTCTGTGGTTGTTGAGATGTCCCTGCTACTCAGGCTGGTGGGAAATAAGAATTATTAGTTTCCCTACAGGGTCTCTCACACTTTCTCAGCTTGCAAACTAAAATGGCATTGTCTTTTTCAAAGTGTGTTCAGAGTGAACATGAAGGAAGTTTCAAATAACACAAGTCAGAACCGAACACAATAAGATGCGTTGCCACAAGTTAAAAGACAGTTGGGACTTTCTTCTAAGGATGTCTCCCAATCAATACCTAAATGTTGACTATATGTATCTGCGCTACTTGATCTAAATACTAAAGGTGCTGGTTCCGCCATGTTTCTGCGTGCATGATGTCAGCAACTCTGCAACTTGTGTACCAACTTTCAGAGATGTTGTTCCGACTTTTAAAGTGCAAATTATACTTCTGCTTCAAATTGACGGCTTAACCTCTGCATAGACCCTTAGCCTACACAGTCGCCTATGCCGTAGCCCAACAGGCAACTCCTCAAAAACGTAACTACACGTCGAGCCAAACTAGTGGCTGTAACACTGTGGATCAATATATTTGACCGTCACAACCCGAGCGAAAAGACTTGTTTCACTATCAGAATGTGATCCATTCACAGCCGCACGTATAAAATTTACCCCCATTTGCGTTAGCGGAGGGCTAAACCGGAAATTGGCTTGGCCTGTTCAGCTGGCAAAAGTCAACACAGTGGACGCTAGCTTTTGGCGGTGTAATTGCAGAATGACGGAGACACCGACGCACAAGTATAAATGCATGGCTACGTGCTGATTTAGCCCTGACGCAGGAGTATAAATCAAGCTTTTTGGATGTGTTCATGTGAATTTTCCCAGTCGAGAAATAACTTTTTGAATATTCCAACACCACGTAAATGCACAATTAAAGCTCATGAACAAACAGAAATCGGAAGAACCATCTGAGGCGCATGTGATTGCAGCTAGAGTCATGCTTCTTTTTCCTCAAACACTGAGTATGTTAATCGGTGACAGCTGATCTGACCTGTTGCAGCTGAAAGCCGGTGAAAGTGGACTAGCTCTGGCTAAACACGAGAAACTGCTTCCTAGGTAGCGCTGCCTGTTACACTGTTAATAAAATTACATTAGATCAGACTTTATTGTCCCCAGAGGGAACTTATTTTTATCCTCATCGAGACATCTTATTCAGGGATACTATGGCTGCAGGTGCCAATGTGGTCCCTTCTGCACCTCTGGGACCTGTACCTGAGGTTCCCATTCGGTAGCAGAATGAAGTGCCGATTTAGTGGCGGTGTGATGTCCTGTGCTATTGTGCTTGCAATGCGTGTGATCGCCTTACAGCTGGGTTCTGACAGGCTGGGTATGATTATAGATTTGCTAGCGTCTGAGCTTTACAAA